GCTTCTCCTGCTTGCCCCTTCAAGACAAAGGTGAAGTTTGTTTAAAGGAGAAAATAATTTGTCTGGTCACATACTCTTCTGACAGAAGTAGTTCTTTCAGAGGAGCTGTGATCTTTCAGAGATGCCCTGTGAGGTCTACAGGCAATACAGATGGGCCCATTAGAGTGTCAGGCTTTCCTGCAGGTCTACAGCTTCCACTGACGAATCAGCTCTGCAGTGGCTTCAGCAGAGAGTTTACTTGAACCAGCCACCAGATAGCAGACCCATACAGAAATTTTCCCATTCCCTTCACATCATGTGCTGAGCTCGAACCAGCTTCTAATGTCTGATGGAATACCACGAGAGAAAATAGGAATGTAAGCAGTTAAATGCTCCCTGACTGCAACTGCAGGAGCCTCAACCTCTGCACTGATGGGGTCACAGACAGGGAAGCAGCTCTGCTCTAAACCTGAGCGTAATTTGTTCCAACAAGCTTACCTGAAATGCTGGAAAGGAACAAACAAGATGGGTGAGTTATTACAACTTCTACCCGCGCAAGTTTTCTCAGTTTTCTTCTACTTACCCCTTGCAGAAAACAGTGTAGTGTTCCCAGACCGCATTAATGGCAGTGCTATGGAGAGGAAATTATTTGCACTTCCTCATCTGGACAAGTTCAGTCCTGCTTTACTTCAAGTACTTACTGCCTTTAAGATGCCAGATCCCACTATCTCTAATTCACATACTTAAGCCTAACACATTCAGTAAGGAGGTGTATTAGGTGTGGCCACTCCTCCTATTGAAATTTGACCACAAGCAGCTCTATGGATTTTACTCACATTTATGGGATCCTATAATTTTGCTGCTACACTGTTGATAAACATCAGTATCATGAAATTATGAATTTCAGGAGTCCCACATACGTGGTCCCAGACTCTGAGACTTTCAGGTCTCTCCTAAGATGCTCTGTCTTCTCAAAACCAAGAGTTAAATTGTATGAACACGTGGCCCACCTCACACCACTATATATACACACATACAGGGAACTGTATTTCAACAATGCTGGTTTCAAAAATCCTTCTGTTTTTGCCAATTCCAGCAGAACTAGAGCATGGAAGGGACAGGGAGGGGGGAATTCCTGGAAATCCAGTCCAGCTTAGAAAAACCTTTAATTATCAAGCAGGGCATTTCACTACCATTCCTTTGCGTCCTTTTTTGTTGCAGGCACCCATCTCTGCTCTATCAACCTCTCTTACAGGACATGCTAACTGACAGGCTGGAGGGCATGAGTTTCATTCCAGCTTTTTAACCTTGAGTTTAAATATCAGAGCAACCCATGTCAAGAAAGGACAGAGTCCCCTTGCAGGTGCAGTTCATCCCACACTTCCCATTTTGCTGCCAGTAGGATCCCACCCCTTCTTCCCACTCTTCCCCATGCAGATACCAAGGGAGAGCAATGCAGGCTGCCTAGCAAATGCCACTCTGAAAAGAGCTAAACTTCACTGCAATCCCAATTCTTCCCTTTGATCAGCCACACTTTCCACCTAAGCCTTGAAAATGGAGGGCTGGGCAGGCTTGGCACAGCCAGACTTTTGTGTGAGGGGAGGCAGAAGGGCAGGTTTTGAGAGCAGACCCTCACACTCCCTTTCCCCTTCTTTGCTCCAGCAAGTTGCCACTACTAGAAGCCTCAGATTAGCTCTTCATCTTGAGAATTGGATCTCTTAGTTCATCTGTAAGGAGAAAGTGACACCAACCATTATTCTCCCAGTTTTATTTGTAAAGGACATAGCATGAAAAGCTGTATTTCAATGTACTTCAAAACCTGAAAAACTCATGTCAGTTTGTCGTATGTATGTTAAAGTGCTTGATATAACAATACTTTTACTCATGTTGTCTTGAAAATAATCCAGTTCTTATTCAGTTAGTAATAATGTAAAGACAAAATATACTTAATGGAGACATTTAGGGATCATTTTAAGCTATACAGGGCACATTTGTACATTTCAAGTGTAACATACAATATTTCCCCTTAAGATGCGCACTTTCACTTGACTGAAAGAAGGAATTTTCTCAAATATGCCATTGCGCAACTATTCTAAAGACATTTTTGAACAATGATATCTAATTACACAAACCAACTTGGAATAAACGTGTAGATTTCTCACTAAACAGTAGAATTTCATTCATTTCAGAGAATTACAAATACACATTTTGTACATAGTGAGGCATTTGATTCTCTGACTCCCTCAAGTTACCATGCTGGATGTTGGTATAACAGGACTATGCAAACACAGTCACCTGCAGATGGGTATTGGATAGGATTTTTAGTTCTTTAAAAAAAAAAGCAGATACCAGAGAGCTTTCGTCTTCTCCAAGATTCCCTTTCTCAACCAAAGAAGGTGCTTTAACCCTGAAGTAAAACTGTGTTAGCTTAGAAGAATCCTGATGGGTTTTTCTCACCATCCTAGTGGGTAGAATAATTTCTGTAAACCTTACAGGAAAACCCTCACGGTTTCCAAGAAACAGAAGTGGTCTACTAAGAAAAAAAATAATCATACATGGTAGGATAAAAATTCACTACAATGAACAGTACTTCCGAGCTTGTAAAATAAGTACTCTCCTAGGAATCTGAGGCACTCAGCTGTGCCCCTTTCAACATATCTTAGGGTGTTTTATTGCCTACAGGGAAATATTAGACATACATAATTTTTATTGTAAATAATGTGAAACCTGACAAAACCAAACAAGTCAACACTTGCTGAAAAAGCCGATACGAAGTTGTGTTAAGTGCTAAAGGTTCCTTAACGTAGCTTGAAAGGGGGGAAGGCCCTGTTTTGAATTTGAAAATTTCTCAGGTTTTGACTTATTTTAACTTAAGAAAGACTTTATTTAGTTAATTGCCCTTTTCTCTGTGTGTGGGTAATTCATCTATGCTTGACCTTCAGAGGTTTGTACTTTATCCTGCTTGCACTTAAACCGAGTCATGTTGGATGAATGTTACATCTGCTGAAGTCATAAATAGTCTTTGGAGAAGTATGCAGCAGTATACTTTTGAGAAGTATCCAGCTAGCAAATGCAGATGATGCTGCAAAGAAATCCAAGGACTAAAGAGGTTGTTATTTCAGTAAAATGAAAGTCACTTAGACTGGTTTGGGCATGAAAAAAAAATCATGTATAGCAGTAATTAGACATAAAAGGCCTGAGTTGTAATTGAAATCAAAACATCCTAAGCAGTCATTACCAAATAATGCTGCCACATGGTTTCTGGTGCTCAATGTGTAATTTATTGATAGAGTTAAGTACTAGGGACACATTTTCAGTGCTGCTGAAGGGTTGTCACGCATCTTCTTCTGACTTTAAGCAGAATTGCCTGGCCACACAGAAAAGCCTCACACCTCAAATTTCACATTTCTGGAAATGCAAGAGACATGTCACACAGCCGTGGGCTCTGGCTTCTAACTCATGACACCATTCACAGCCTTTACGTTGGTTACTCACACCCACAGTAGTGACATGGCAGTGCTGCCTACAGTATTTGGGATGAGTTTAGTCAATTTAAGGAAGTACAAGCCCAGGTGGAAAGAACGGTTATTAAAAACTGGAACCCTCATAAAAGTCAATGACTCTCTGACAGTGTTGTTTTACTTCTTTCTTAAAAATAAAAAACCCCTTCTATAGCATAAACTCTCCCTGTTAATGAAACAAAGTCACATGAAGAGTTTTCTTCTGGCTGGGAATATTACATGAAACTTTGACCCTAAAGCAAGTGTTGTAGTGAGAACTGGACAGCAGAAAGACCACAGGAAAACAGAGAAGCTTGACAAAAGGCAGGTGAGAAAGCAAACCCAAAGTTTCTTCCTTTCCTTCTCCCTAGCTTTTACCCCTCTCTCCACCACGTGCAAACTATATTGAGACCTGCTACTGCCCACTGTTCTCCAGCCCCTCCTAATGCCACTTCAGAGCACAGCACCAAGGCAATAACCTTACAGCACCAGTTAGGGCCTTTCCCAATCCACAGCTGACAGTGAGACATCCACAGAAACCCACTGACAAAATGGTGACGATCATAGGGAATAAACAAGCGAAAACAAACACCCATATTTAAACTAACCTCCAAAAAACTAAAACCAGATGAAGCCAACTATGCCCTCAGATCCTTCCAATTCCTATCCACAAGACGGAAAACATACTCTGTATTTGCTGCATGGTATCCTCGAGATGATTTTAATGTAATCTCTTGTTAAATTTTTAGCATACAGTATTTCAGTTGATCCCAGTTCCTCTTCAAGAGCTGTATCTATATATACACACTGTATTAGTAACACATTAACTGGAAAGGGTGTAGGAGAAGAGCCACAAAATACAAAAGTAAGATTCTTCTTTTCCCTCCTTTTGCTTTCTTCCCCCTCCCCACGTTTTGGTTTTTTTTTTTTTTTTTTTTTTAGCTGGATAATCTAGTGAAAAGAAAGGAAAAAAGAAAAAACTAGCAATTAAAGATCCTGCACCTCCTAGGAATACTCATTCTGCGGGATAAAGGAAGACTCATAACCTGTCGGCATTTCAAAACCAGCTGATAGAGTTCAGTAGCACAGCAACATCAGTGTTTGTGGCTCTGCAGCAATGATTCTTCTCAAGTACAGCAAGAATTTGGTATGAACCAAATTCCTCAACATAGGGGAAAATAAAAGCCATCCACAACACAAACTGGCTGAGGGTGAGGGGGAATCATCAGAACATCTAGACAGGCAAGGGACACACCAAATGAGTCAAGGAAGCCATCATTTCCCATTTCAGGCTGCTGCAGCACCCCTTACAGAGGTCTCTCATACTCTCAGGCTCTGAGGCTGACAGCAGTCCTCTCCGGTGTTTAAGCATTTCAACATTTGTCTCCCTTTTTGGAGATCAACAGAAGTGACACATAAAACCTTACAGAAAAAAACATGACGACTCACAACTTCCGTGCACGGAAAGGCTTGAGTCTTTGAACAAACAAAAAACTAAGAGAGCCGATGTACAGTAGGGTAAGACAGCACATATGCTTGCAACATTTCCAAGAGTGAGACAATCACAATGGCTACTTAAGGATATTTGCTGTATTAATTTGCAATACCTGAAAAAAGCCCTGCTGAGTTTGCGCTGTATTTACACATTGATTGGCTTCTTCCTTGCAAGCAAGTAGCGGCATCCCTTCCCTCCTCAGTCCTTCCCTCCCCCCAGTCCTTCCCTGGGTTTCAACTACTCATAGTCAGAACAAGAACATTCAGTCTAAGAAAAATTTCTTAGAGTAGTATAATTTCTTAAAGAAGATAGCATATTTACACACATCTAACACATGAAAATACTCTATTTTATACTAAATTTCTGTTTCAAATAAACTACAATACTGCATCTTAGCTTTCTGCAGCTTTAGAGGACAGTTCCCATCAGGCACAAACTGGGCTTCCCACTCCCGCTTCAACCAGCAGCTTTGCCTTACAGTGGTGCACTACCATCGTGTTCAGGTCCTGACAGGTCTCCAATTGTGGTTTGCTTGCTTGGGAAAGGAATAATGAAGTTCTCAGCAAAGCCATGCTAAACATCCACTCCTTTAATGAGCGATCCTTCTAGGATGATATTGAAATCTTGTAATGTCTGTAGGACTCGGATAAGGGAGTTGACAGTCATGCGGTCCCGTAGGAGAGCATTCTCCTCATACATCCTTGTAATGGGCGGGCACTCTGCCAGCAACGGGATCCACTGAGGGAGCAAGTGGTCCCTGCAAAGGGGATGAACAGAATTATTTTAGCACCGATTAAACAGATCTCAAAACAGAAATTCTTCTCCAAGAATGCAACTCAGAATATGCAGTCTCTTTTTGAGGGTGATGCGTGTTGTTTGCACATAGAAATTTCCTTTGTAATCATAACCCTTGATTTTGTGAGTAAAATACAGGTAGCTGAACATACATGTATGAATACAAATATATTGAATGAATCTACATGTATATTAAATGAATACTGAATGAACATACATATAGGAATACCTGTATACATGTACAGCTGAACATACTGTTGGAATGAAGATAGAAAGGTAGCAGCAGAATTAGGCAACTGATTTTGGAAGAATTCAGCAACATTTTCAGATCGGGAAGAGGGAAAGTAAAACTCAGGCAGAACCACTGATTCTCCATATACCCAGACAGACAGGACAAAAATGGTACTTACTTCTAGACATACCAACTTCCACCCTCCAAAATATAACCAAGCCCCACCTCCCTCTCCAAGTGCAAGACACAAAGCAAGGCAAGACTGAACTAGAACAGTTTTGTCAAAATTGTAACAGACATCCCATTTTCATAGGCAAAGTGATTCAGTGAGGCTTGAGAAATGCACCAGCTCCTGCAAAAGAACTCTGCATTCACAAAGCCACCACTTCAAAAACACAGTTTCAAGACAGACTGCATACCTATGACTGTCGAGCTAACAGTTATAAAAGAGCTCAAAACATTATTGGCAGTTTAGACACTGCTTCTTTGCTCCGATTTTTCATCTAGTATTAAAGCTGCCTGAAATAGGTACTGGATAATAGATGGGTATGAGATGCCTTAGAATGGAAAACTAAAGGTAATAACAATGGTGTAAAAATATTCTTCCAGTCTAACGCAAGAGGACACATGTATCAAAGAACAGTTAGGTACCTTGTCCCCAGGCAAACCAGAATTTGGAATTTGCCATCCTTTCCGATGTTCCTTGGAGCAGTATTGATGGCATTCACATAATGACAGAAGGTTTTACATGAAGATCTCTGAAGCAAAAGGGCCTCCTCATTATCTCCAATCTGGTCACTGGTTTCAAAATAAGCAACAGCTTTCTCTGTGGTAGGGAGAAAATCAGAACTCAGTGAGAGGCACGTCACTGAGACACAGAATTACACAGGGAATCCTTAGAAAAACAACTTGCTGAGAGCTAGTGCGCATTTTTTATACAGATTCCTCACACTGAAGAACATAGGTAGGTGGTGATCTCCACCTTTGCTACCTAGCAGCAGTCAGTGGACTGGTTGATGTCTAATACAGTTAGGTAACACCGAGGAGCTGCACCAGAGTACCCGTCAGTGGTTTCATTCTGAGTGATACCATCAGCTTTGATTTTTCACCTTTTCTGAGTAAGCACTTACCCTCAGGCTAAGTATCTCAACTTGTGAGCATGTTTTAAGGGAGTATGTACATCTTAAATTACAACAACATAGGTTAATACTGATAAGCATCACAGAAGACCAGTGCAGTGATTAGGAGAGTTCTCACAAACAACTACAAATATAAACCTTTCACTCCCTGCCCTTTCCCAACTCTCCCCCTAATACCAATTGCTACTCCACCCCAACCTCCAGCTTACCTTCTTTCTGGGTAGAGAATCAGCTGTTTGAACATTCATCTATGAATAAATGACTAGAATTTGAAGTGCTCTTAAATCTCTGCACAGATTCACAGTCATCCCTTAAACAGAGTTTAGTATTTATCATCTTCCATCTTGTCTGTCATTGACTTTAAGCAATCTGGAATAGGTGCTAGGCAGGAACAAACGGCACCCTAGCTGAGGAGAATCTGCGGTTTGTATCTGAGTAGTCGTTTTGCACTAATCTTTCTTCTTAAATCACATACCACCTTACCTATGAAATCCCAGATGAAGACATTCTTATGAAAAATTCGAGCAGATTTGAATCCATGGTGGAAGACCTGCTCCAGTGCTGCCACCAGACCGTTCTCTCCACACAGCAAAATGGTAAGGCTCCCTCTCTGTGAGAAAGGGAGAGTCTGTAAGTACAACTTTGTCTTGTCTGCATGCCAGAACCTTCAAATTTAAAGGTTAACAGTCTCTACTAGTACTTCAGTTCCATTTCTCATTATAAGAATATTTACATGGATTGTAGGTTCCAGGCAAGTAATGAAAAATAGGAAGTACCTCTTTCTCTGGCTTGTGAAAATGTTTCACAATATTGTTCACAGCTTCCCCAATTCCCTCTTGGATCTGTCCCGCATTAGGTTCTGTGAAATGATGGAGAGCACACTAGCTGAAGATACCAACTTTAAAACATTCATCAAATTCTCATGATGACATAGCTCGAACTGCAGGAATTATTCTTTGTCTTTAACAGAGTTCAGGCCATCATTTGTCTTGGGCATCCCTGAGCCTTAATTACAAGCAACTGATGAGCAACCCTGGAATGGTCAAATAAATCGCCCTACTTAAAAATGCACAACCCAAGGATCTGGCTTGATAAATATTTTATTTGAGTTAATCACATCTTGCTCATCACATAGAGTACAGCAACCCTCACATGACAAGACATGGGCTGAAAGGTTGTAGCCCAGTCATTTGGCTCACTTCTACATGACAGAGGTCAGAAAACTCAGCACTCATTAATTCCTAACTTGAACCCACAGTGTTTTATTGAGCCAAAACCAGTATCTAGGCACATGTCTAGTCATTGTACCAGTGTGAGGGGCCACAGGAAGTGAATATTCCTTATTAATAGTTCCAAGAGTAAGTTATCTTCTGCATTAAAACGTATGCCATATTTCTACTCTGAATCTGTTTAGCTATATGCCTCTGCTATCAAATCATGCTATGCCTCCACCTGCTACCATCTCATCTTCTTGTGCAGGTACCTGCAGAAAACTATCTAGTTCCTCCTTCACTTTCTTATTAAAGCAGACTGAACTTTTAAAACTTCATTTTAAGCAGATGTTTCCCAGATTTTCATGGTTCTTCTATGAGTCCTTTCTAATTTTTCAGACATGTAGGTTATTAGCTTGTCCTACAATTGTTATTCTGGAAGCGTGGAGTAATTCGGCATCATTTTAGTACATAAGAATCTTCACAGTTTAGGCAGGTCTAACACAGGGCCTCGTCTAGCTCACAAGACGAATGAATTACTGGGCCTTAGTGTTCTCAGACCTAAGGAAATGCTCTGGTGCTCACTCTTCCAGCTAATAGAGACTCACTCATATTAGTGAAGAGCTGCAGTGGTCCTGTGGTGTTTTTTAGATGCTGCATTGCTCTTGGAGGCTACTCTTTCCTTGTTTGACATTTCAACAGTCACGTCCTCTAATTTTACAGGAGCTGGACAGATTTATGAACAGGATCTACACTGTGCTCATCTGTTTGCTTTAGTGGAGAATGCCTCATGTGGCCCTTACAGTCCCATGCCCTGCAGTAGCCAGATGCAGTTACTCACAAAAGCTAATTTTAGGAATGCGAAGCTGATGTCCCCTAGGGTCCCCCTAAAGATGTGCTCCTCTAGAAGGCACTTCACAGTATCCACATCAAACTCTGAACTGCCCTTGAGAGAGGACTGTCTTCCCACTGACTGCAAAGTGAGCCGGGAAGCTGAGCAGCATCAGCTACTGCAAATTCTGCTGCCTCCTCCTCCCTCATCTCACATCTCTGTGCTCCAAGGAAAGAGATTATTATCTCTCAACTGTCAATGGGGGACATTGAAAGAGGCAGCGTGTGCAGTCACAATGCAAGCTGCAGACATACAAACTGGGGCAGAAAAAGCTCATCAGCTTGCAGTTGTTCCTCTGCACCAAGCCTCTCTTTAGTATGAGCTCTCCTGTTCACAAGAGCTTTATTTCTCAGCCATTGCTGCCCTCTTGCCTAGGGCTCTGGGGAGAAAGGTACGGACTTACTGGTGTTCTTCCCTGTGAGGGAAGTGATGCTGAGTCGTCGAGCCGTGGTAGGTGATTTCTGCTGCGGTGGGGTACGGCACTGCTTTCCCAGCTCTTCATCAGACATGGAGGACACCAGCTCTCCAATGAGTATTCGCTCCAAACTGCCATCATCAACACCCTTTCCCAGCCATCGCCCACAGGGAAACCTGCCGCACACCCAGGACAAGCACAGGTCAGCCTCTCAGGCAGTCTAGCTTCATCTCAAAGCTAGAGGGACAGCTAGCACCAAGTGAACACTGCTAACAGGCAGGGAATATTCTGCAGCCAGGAAGTTGTCACAAACCAGAGCTCAGCAGGCAGCACCTCCTGCACAACTGATCATCCTCAAGAAAAGGAAAACATGCAAAGCATGCATAAAAGCATGGGCCACAACAGTGTTATACACATATTTCACGGTCCACATCTTGACTTCTGCCAGGTCCTTTTCCATTTGCAACAGCAACTGATATTCTGCCTTTAAAAATACTGTCATGATTAACAACTACACTTCCCCGTAGAGTTCCCACCCAGCTGAAGCTGTGACATCTTCTCATATTGAGACCTCATCTCACATTTTACTGCTGTACGTTTTGACCCGTCCGCAGTCCTAATGAAATCCATGTACCCGTCCATACCCCCAGCCCTTATACCAAATTTCCTCCTACTTTCCCCCCTACACTATGGCCAACTCTGAGCTCACCTTTCTGAATTACAGTGTTCCAAGTCCAAATTTATATAAAAAACCTAAGTCTGCTTAGCCAGATGTTTTGTAACACCAATGGTGAGTTAGGAGATCATTTCAACACAAGAGGTATGAACTCAACAGAAGATTAAGAAATAAACCCCTTTTGTTTCTTGTAATCTGAGTTTCTGTACATTTGCTACAGTACTTAGACATTAGAATATTTTTAAAACTAAAAAGAAACAAAATATTTGCCCCAAACTATACTTCCAGCTCTTGGGGGTTTAGAAGGTTCATGTGTGCATGATTTTACCACGCTACTTTAAATCAAGAGATTTAATTATTATACACAAGCATATGAATCACTTCAACAGTATCCATACTGTCTGTCCTGTCTCAGAGAGATGCTAGGAAAATCCCACACTCATGTCTTAATCAGATTATCTGACTTCAACTAGGGCTTCTGAAATGAGAGAGACCAGCCCTACCAGGTACCCAAATCAGCCCACAGTGCTCCATCAACTGTAGAAAAACCTTCTTGCTTGCTCTAGATTTAACAAGTAAGAATTACAGACAAAGATAATTAAAACTTGCTGCTTACTTGTACGTGTGTCCTGTTATTTCATTTCTGACCATGACACAATCAACCAGCCACTTGGCTAGCAGCCCTGAGTTGTCATGACCAATCTGAACGGTCGTCAGCTTCCCTAAGTTCTGGCACTGAAATGAATAACAGTTTTCACTTAATTTAAAAAACAACAGACCACATCCCCACCACCACCACATGCACACATATGGTCTCAAATGTACATTTTTCTTCAGTTTCCTTTGATTTATACAGCAAGTATTTCCAACCAAACATGCAGAGCATTTCGAAAAGCAGAACAATTAAGACAGAAGAAAAGAAATGACCTGAAATAAAACTATTAAAAGCTTGTAAAGAGATTAGATTGTTTGTTGTGAACACTCACTGTATATTTCTGAGGAGTATTAATTACACATTTCTGAGCTAAGGTGATAAAAAGGTGTGCTTTTGTAGAAGAAATAGGTGTTCAGTACAAACAGCTTTCCAAAAGTGCATTTTGAGCAGACTGACCTTCACTCGACTCACTCTACACTATGAAGCAGTCCCCATATCCTTTCTTATTTTCAAAGATCGATTTGCTTATTGTTGGGCAAGATAAAAATCACTAACATGAGACACTTAACATCATAAAGAGACAGAACAAGGAAAACAAGGGGCTGTGAATTCCAGTGCAAGATGTAATTGTAGGTGGGGCTGGCAGCAACATCTATTAACATCACCTAAACACTTCCCTTGCAAGACCTTGGTTTTCGTTGCTTCTAATACTGCCAAACAAGCAGCTTGGGCTGACATTTTCCATAGTGGGTGGCTACTTAAGTGGATATTTTAGGAAAGCTTCAGCCAAAGGAATAATCCAGAACAGTCTTGGTATGGTCCTTAGAAATGTCTAAATGTTATTTTGCTTGTCAGAAGCCTAGAGATCTTTCCTATGAAATACTAATATCTGAATGAGAGGCAGCCATTGTATCATATATCTCTCACTGTCAAAATCTACTTATATTTGGCAAGAGATTTTTTTACTATTGTTGAAGAACAGTCTGCATATGCTCAATGGACACAACTTTAATTTTAGTAGCAGATTTTCCTACTAAATCACTCCTCACTGCATACGGTACAGCCTGGAGCTGCAGGAGCCTGATGGGGCTTTCCCTGCAATTCCCACTACCAGCTGCTTTGGGGTGGCAACAAGCCAACCTGTAATTGATGGGTGGGAAAGCAAAAGGGAACACTGGGTAGTCAAATGCAAAGAGAAAACCACAGCAAGCATGGAGAAGAGAGCCCATGGGAATGGTGGGTAGGTCTATGACTCGAGGGGGTAGCATCTGAGGCTGGGAAGAACTCAGGGGTTAAACTGGCTGGTTGGAAGAAAAGCAGCAATACCGGACAAGGACGAAAAGAAATCTGGGACTGGTCAGAGGTAAAAAGGGACCTGAGTGATGGTTAAGTAGAAGACACATTCAAAGAAGGTAAAAGAAACTTGCAAGGGAAATGAGGAGTTGGAAACAAATGGTGAAAGCGAAAATTAGGCAAGGGTACGTGGAAAGGAATGAGATATGGAAATATATTGGCTAGGTGAGAAGAGGAGCCCTGGGCTAGGACGAGGAGAGCAGTGAAGCCTGTGGTTAAAAGTGTTGTATGCTCAACTTTCATCTAGCACAGGAGGCATGGGCAGTGCTGTTAGCCTGTACATACAGGTATGTTCAGCGACCCTGAAAACGTGGACAGAATCTGAAATGCTGTGATATTAAAAAAACCAAACCCTCACCAAATTAACCATTATTTGGAAGCATGTTTCAAATTGAAAAGTAAAATGTAAAGAGCAGGTACTCACCTCAAATGTCATTTCTAGGTGGTTTTTAGGAATCTGCATTACGCCAGTATCTCCTAGTTCCCCTGATACACATATCCATGGGTTTGATGTGGTTATTGCATTGCTCAGTTTTTTGATGGGAATTATCACTGACCTGTAAGGGATCACTAAGAACAGAATGGAGGAAATAAGTTATTCTTGACCTTTTTCCCCTCCTGCAGTAAATGCAATTTCTGGAGTAAACCACATCTCTCACAGAATGGTTCAGGTTGGAAGGGACCTTCAAGACCATCCAGTTCCAACCCCCTGCCATGGGCAGGGACACCTTCCACTAGACCAGGCTGCTCCAAACCCCAGCCAGCCTGGCATTGAGGAGGGGCCAGCCACAGCTTCTCTGGGCACCCTGTGCCAGTGCCTCACCACCCTCACAGTAAAGAATGTATTTCTTTTAGCTAATCTAAACTTCCCCTGTTTAAGTTT